CTTCTTTTATAGTGAAATTCTCATATTGAGAATATAGTAACGTTCCTCTGGACCTCTACACCTGGGGTGTTCCTTCATGAGCCACTTGCAAAGTGTCCCAAATTTTCTTAGCAGTAGTACAACTTTGAATTCTGCGGTACTCGTCCGGACTAAGTCCACACATGAGCCACTTCTTGGCCTTGGCATTCTTCTCCCATTTTCTCAAGTCCTCAGCAGTGCAATCAGCTCTTATTTTTGGCACATCTACTCCTTCAACATTCTTCTTCATGGTAGCCAGGGGACCATCTGTGACTATGTCCCATAGCTCATAATCCTCTCCAATGATATGGTCTCTCATTCTGTTCTTCCACCAGGAGTAGTACTGACCATTGAAAAGTAGTGTCCTAGCACTGGATTGTCTTTCCCAGTTTTCAGGTGGTGCACTCATCTTGATCTTCTCCTAAGGTGTTAACCTTTTCAAGGACAACCTGCTCTGATACCAATTGATGTCTTAACTTCAATACCACACAAGAGGGGGGTAATTTGTGTGGTGTCCAATTTTTTATGTGTACAGATTATAGAAGGACCTGGTTCTTCTATGTATTTCTTATCCTACTGTTGCGAAATAATAAATGCAGAAATTAAAGAACACAAGAATTTTTACGTGGAAAATACCTGGCTCAAAAGGTGAAAAAACCATGACCTAGTTCCCAGTAGGATTTTTTCAAAACTCTTCACTAAATCACTGAGCCAAAAACTGCATTTACAAAATACTTTTGTAAACCTGGGATTAACTATAATCTCGTTGTGGCACACAACCTCTAACTGTTGCGACAACTTCAAGTTAACTCTAACTTGAATACTCTGAGTACCTATTACAATTGCCTCTAGATAAAGCTGAAAGGTACAATATGAAAACACCTACTACAATTGAACTAGAATACAAGACAGACACTTGAAACTGGTTCTTCTATCTGGTTCATGTAGCTTCATGTTCATACACTTGAATCACACACGAACTGCTTGCAAAATGCCTTGATATTTTGCTCTCAATTCACATTTAACTTCTGCTTTTGTGCGTCACCTGTAGAATGAGAACTTCCTGCGATTTATAGAGTTAGTAGAATAGAAAACAACTAGAGTTCTAATGCTACTCTTCCTTGGTGGAAGAGTTCTAGTTGATCTCAACCTCTAACTCCTCCCTTATCTTGGATAATGTTCTCGTAGGGCAAGGAGTCCTTCTCCTTATCATTTATGCAATCTTTTCGATCAGGAGATATCTATTATTATGCCAGATTTCGTTTATCTCCTGCATGTGCATCTCACGTGCTTTGAATCTGCCCGTGTCTATGTCTACCAGTGATAGGCCTGGTTCATGCCTGAGTTTTCTTTGTCAATCTTCAAAACTAACCTTCACTTAGGCCAACAGACATAAACAATGATCTCAGGCACTCGTAAGATTCTTAGGAGTTGGAGAAAGTTTCTAGTGAAATTTGATACCAATTTTGTGATTTTTTTGCGATAAAATTGAAACAAGGTGACAACCGAAATGTTTCTAAATCCTCCTTAATTAGTGTATGTATTCCACTATAGGAATACTATCTCCTGTTGAGTGATGCGGTGTCAGATGCAAAAATGAACGCCAAATTTGGAAGTAATCTACAATAAGTTCCGCAAGTCCATAGTTTCTTTAAAATGATAATTAGTGTGAATGTAAAGTAAAATTTAAAGAAAATGTCATTGTTTCTGGGTGACAGCAATATTGATCGAATGATTCAAGTAGAAGATGGGAAACTTCTAGAGCCAGTATATATAGACCAAGTGTAAGTTGTCAAGATTGGTATATAAGAGCTCTAATAGCAAGTATTCAAGAACACATTGAACGACTTATTTCACTAATGCTATTGAATGCTCAGAAACAATCATCTAATAGAACAATAACTACTCAAGATTGTTCATTAGCACTTTTTATTCCTAGTATCAATGTTATTATCTTGTTTTGAACCTCATAACTGTTTTCCAGTGAGCCAAGAGATAAAATCAACTCATAAGGGGCATACATGTATTGAAGTGCAGAAATGATGACTTGAGTAGTTAGGGGGGTCATTTAGCAATTAAAGAAACTAGAAGGGTTAGTCAGTTAGGACGGTTACTTAACAGTGCAGTGTTTGTTATAAATGCACTATTAAGTACCTAATTGTAATGAGATTTCTATTCTAACGAAGTACAGTGGTCTTCTTCTTCCTCATTTCTTCTTTTTATAATGAGATTTCTATTCTAACGAAGTACAGTGGTCTTCTTCTTCCTCATTTCTTCTTTTTCTCTCTTTCTCTCATATATAATTCATGCCCTAGAAAAATGATAGTCGACTAATTTGCATGTCGCTAGATCTGGTTAGCTTAGTAGTCCACAAACTAACATGGTATCATAGAGGGTTCCTTGAAATCAGAGTGTTCTCCGACGAGTTCGTGGTGAAATTCCGGCAGATCGACTGAGTTTCTGGTAGATCGACATTGACGAAGCTTGAAACCTATAAAAAATGGCAGGAAATGCAGTAACACAGCTAGAGCACAATCATCCGTTATTTATCCAAGCATCAGATGCTCCAGGACTAGTTTTAGTGTCAATTAAGCTCACAGGGCCAGAGAATTATGCATTGTGGAGCACGGCGATGACGCTAGCACTTAGGGGAAAGAGCAAACTTGGTTTTGTAGACGGAAGCTATGTAAAAGGCATGTACATAGGTGAGTTAGCAGAGCAGTGGAAGAAATGCAATGCGATTGTGTTGTTATGGATATGTAGTATAGTTGCGAGTGAATTGATACTGAGTATCATGTTCGCGTCTAGTGCAAAGAAGGTATGGAGTGATTTTAAGGAAAGGTTTGACAGGTGCAGTCTCACTAGGATCTATCACTTGTGGGCAGAAATTGTATCACTAAGGCAAGGTACGGATTCTTTTTTTTGATGATCAACAAGGTACAAATTATGTAACCACTTATTATTCAAAAATGAATGATCTGTGGAATGAATTAGACATACTAGCACCAAAACCAGACTGTGACAGTGAGGAATCTAGACCATCACTTGGACACCTATTGCAATAACGCTTGTTGCAGTTTCTTATGGGGCTAAATGAAAGCTATAGTAATGTGAGAAGCAATATGTTGATGAAAAGGCTTGTAGTTAGTGTGAATGACGCTTATGCCATAGTGACTCAGGAAGAGAGTCAAAGGGCCTTAGGAGTGGCTGATATGAACAATGACCCATTGACTATGATGGCAGGCAGGCCTCGATATAACAGACCTAAGAAGATAGGAATGATATGTGAACACTGTGAATATAAGGGGCATTTGAAGAAAAATTTCTACAATATAGTAGGATATCCAGCAGATTTTAAACGCAAGAAAAAGACTCATGTTGCAGGAGGAAGCAGGACATTTGCCAACAATGCAAGTGCAGAAGAAACCAGCAACTCTGAAGGTCAACCACAAGAGCATTACCTGACACGGGAACAGTACAAGCAATTAGTAGAACTGTTGAACAAACCTACATGTGCAGAATGTTCCACAAACATGGCAGGTATTGTTTCATTAATGTCTAATGCCACAGAAAAAGATTGGATAGTGGATACAGGTTCCACTCATCACATAACTTGTAATAAGGACTTACTAGATACACTTAAGATCATTAATGGATATAGGAGTGTACAATTGCCAACAGGGAAGACTTCAAACATTACACATACATGAAATGCACAGATTCTAGGAAATCAGAAAGTGAAAGATGTGCTTCATGTACCAGATTTTAAATTTAACTTGCTATCAATGTCAAAGCTCACCAAAGACCTCAGTTGTTTGGCTGACTTCTACCCTGACTTCTGTGTGTTGTAGGGACTCTACAGTGGTAAGGTATTGGGGATTGGTAGAGAACATGAAGGATTGTACATAATAAAGCAAAGAGATACAGAAAATAAAGCACTGGTGGAAGGCACAATTGCAAAGGAGGGAGCAGAAACAGTCACTACAGATTGGGACATGCCTCAATAAAATCATTACAGCACTTATCAGCTTTGAAGAATAAAATCAGTATTATAGAAATAGGATCTTGTGATGTATGTTTCCAAGCCTCCCAACGCCTAGCGCCATGTGGACCCATGATCGACCCATGACCCCTTGGAAGCTCTCTGTGGCGTCCTGGCAAGTCTCCCAATGCCTAACGCTACGGTCGACCCCGTGGTCTCGGCAATGCCAAGTGACAAGCGCGCATGCGCCTCTGTCGCCCCATCGATAATCAGTGCAGCCAAGAGTGTCGCGTGCACCTACAATGCTGCGCACACAAGCCATCATGTTGCCAACAACGTCGTACGCATTGACAGTGCCCCGTGCGCAGATCCAATGCCATGCGCCAGCGCCCAGCCGCAGGCAGATCCAAATAGTGTCGCGCGCGCCAACTGCAATGCGCGCGCAGACCCTGATGCTCAAGACAAAGTTATTGCCATCGGACTTGCTTCTACCTTGTAGAAGACTAAGTCCTTTTCATTGTAATTATAGAGTAGTTTTACTTCATTCATTTCCAGTGTGCTTCTACAGCTTTCATAGGTCAACTCATGTAACTTTGGTTTATTTTTTTTAAGCATTATTAAGGGGGACCAAAGCATTCAAACATTCAAGCAAGCAATCATTTCTCTGTACTGGTGTCTCTCCCCCCGACACCGCATAGCATTTTGTAATAGCTTTCATCATCATCAATACAATCATCAGCTTTTATCATCAATTGCTCATTTTCGCTGCTCAATTGCTCACGACACTGGTTTTCCCGTACGGCACTGACAATCTAGTCTAGCATACGGAGGGAACCTCATTTGACGGACAGCAACTGCACTGACATCGGTTGCTTAGCCTTACGCCGCCCTTCGAAGGAACTTCAGGAAGGCACCGCGTAACAGCTCTCATGAAAGTGATGATGCCTCTGCAGACTTGGAACAAGAAGAAATAGCTCCAATCCTTGCACCACTAGAGTAGATGGATACTCCAAATCCAGCATTAAGAGAGGGATCAGAAGAAGTTCTTCCTGTAAAATTTGTTGTTGAGCAAGAGCATGCACCAGCAACAACAAACTTACATACACAACATGTTCAAAGAGAACCTAGAAATACAACTACTCCCATATGGATGAAGGATTATGTGACTACTACAAAGTTGTCTGGGAACTGTAAGTTTCCAATTTCCATTCATGTTAAGTATGATCATCTTGCCACAACATATCAAGCTTATTTACAAGTTTTCTCAGTTCTTGTGGAACCAAAATCCTTCAAAGAGGCATCATAGGATCCACAATGGATAGAAGCAATGAAACAGGAGATACAGGCACTAGAAGATAATCAGACTTAGGAGATTGTAGACCTTCCTATTGGGAAGCAAGCTATAGGCTCAAAATGGATATACAAAATAAAATACAAGTCAAATGGAGAGGTGGATAGGTTCAAAGCAAGGTTAGTGGCTAAAGGCTACACACAACAAGTTGGATTGGATTACCATGAGACTTTCTCACCTGTAGCCAAACTGGTTATAGTGAGAACAGTTATCAGTGTTGTTGCTTCTAAATATTGGCCATTGTTTCAAATGGATGTCAATAATGCCTTCTTACAAGGTGATTTCACAGAAGCGGTCTATATGGATCTACCTCTAGGGATTTCACAAACAAGGGGAGTACAAGGTATGTAGATTATTGAAATCCATATATGGTTTGAAACAAGCCTCAAGGCAATGGAACATTAAGCTTTAAAATGCTTTACTGCAAGTTGGCTATTCTCAAAGATCATATGACCATTCACATTTTACCAAGAAATGTGGCAAGAACATTGTGATCATCTTTGTGTATGTGGATGATTTGTTGATCACTGGGAATTCTCTCGATATGATTACATAAGTAAAGAAGATTCTTCATCACAATTTCAAAATGAAGGACTTAGGGGAATTGAGATACTTTCTTGGAATAGAGGTTCTAAGATCACAGGGAGGAATTGTATTAAACCAGAGGAAATATGCAATGGAACTCCTTTGAGAGGCAGGTTTGAGTGGATACAGACCAGTGGCAACTCCAATGGAGCTCAATCATAAGCTAACTACTGTGGACTATGACAACCATGTTGGGAATACAGAAGATAAGTAATTGGAGGATGCAGGAAAATACCAAAAACTGATAGGAAAGCTGCTTTATTTGACCATTACAAGGCTAGATATAAGCTTTGTTGTGCAAGTATTGAGTCAATTTATGCAGAATCCTAAACAATCAGACTTAGATGCAGTCTTAAGAGTGGTGAGGTATATCAAGGAATCCCCTGGCTTGGGTTTACTGCTGAAGAAAAGAGAAGCAAACAATCTAACAGTATTTTGTGACTCAGACTGGGCAGCATGCCCAAATACTAGGAGATCAACTACGGGATACATTGTCAAACTAGGAGACTCTCTGTTGTCCTGGAAGTCTAAGAAGCAACAAACAATCAGCAGAAGCTCAGTAGAAGCAGAATATAGGAGCATGGTTGGAGCAGTTGCAAAGACAATTTGGATGGTTGGCTTACTAGAAGAATGCAAAAATAGTGTGATCAAACCAGTGCACTTGCACTGTGACAGCAAAGCTGCTTTGCAAATAGCAGCTAATCCCATATTTCATGAGTGAACCAAGCATATAGAAATTGATTGTCATTTAGTGAGGAAAAGGATCAAGATAGGACTGATAACGACTGAGTATGTTTCCACCAAGCAACAGCTAGCAGATTTGATGACCAAAGGTTTGGGAGCTGCACAACATCATCTATTACTGTCCAAGCTGGGAGTGTTAGATTTCTTCCAATCTCTAGCTTGAGGGGGAGTATTGAAGTGCAGAAATGATGACTTGAGTAGTTAGGGGGGTCATTTAGCAATTAAAGAAACTAGAAGGGTTAGTCAGTTAGGGCGGTTACTTAACAGTACAGTGTTTGTTATAAATGCACTGTTAAGTACCTAATTGTAATGAGATTTCTATTCTAACGAAATACAATGGTCTTCTTCTTCCTCATTTCTTCTTCTTCTCTCTTTCTCTCATATAGAATTCCTGCCCTAGGAAAATGATAGTCGACAAATTTGCATGTCGCTAGATCTGGTTAGTCGAGTATTCCACAAATTAACAGTCTCCCTATTTAGACACCAAATCTGTTGCTAATAACAAAATTCAAACAAGCCAGCGCTTGAGGCAATTATTTTTTGGACAGTAAGACAACCAATACTGGTGTTGTGATGCTCAAACAGTAGGTGCTGAAGCTCCCAGTTTCTGTCTGTTAATACACACCTGGCATTGAGGCGTCCATTTCTGGATGCTCAGTGTTGGAGGTGCAACGCTCAATGCTGGAGGTACACATTTTAGCCTACCGCATTTTCTTCCATCAAGCAAGCACTGGAGTTCAATTACCAAGTTTTGTGGTGCTAACTTCTGTCTGCATTTTCAAAATCTACAACAGTAATAATGTACTAGTGGTTTCTTTTCCAGCTCTAAGACTAAAACCATTTCTTCTTTTCCCACTGAAGTAAAGATCACATCTGAACACATATACTTTATATTCTCATGGCATTTCTCAAAAGGTATCATTACCTTCTTCAAGAATTCCAAGCATATGATCAAGAATAAGTAATCAGCTACTTCCGGTGCATGATCTTATTACAATCAATTCCTAATCAGAAACTTATCAATAAGGAGGTTGGCTGAGCATACGCTTATTATAGATACTCCTAATTAGAAGCTGTAATTCTCTTAAAGCTTCAATTGATACTAAAAATGTCACCACAATCAGGTTTGCTTCTTCACTGTTGTATGTGCTTCAGGAAAATAACAGAACATATGATTAATGTTTAAGAATCATTTTCCAAGTTGAGGACATAAACTAACATTTCATTTGGAAGAAACAGGTACATAGAAGAGCAAAGAAAGTATTGTTTAATGTAGAAGCAAAGATATAGCAGTGGCATCACATCATCTTGGTGAAAATCATAAGACGCACAATAATTTATTTCGTAGTTAAACTATGAAATGTAGGTTACAGTGAATACATCTGAAGGATAATTCTACAGAATTTATTAAAGAAACAACTTACAAAAATTACATGATGATCTTCTAAATTGCCTCCTACTCCAACCTCTCCAGACTTCATTCTTCATACTCTGTTGAAACAAAAGGTGATTAGTTAAGAGCTATAAAACATACATAAACAAATGACCAAACAAAGTTACAATCTTTCATTTTTTGGTGTAGAATTTCTAATTTGAGGAATACACTTTTCATCTTTAGACCAATATATTATTTTCATAGATATTTTACTTTTCATGAGAATTGACTTGGTCCGTTTATCACCCGACAGATATATTTGTTTCCCAATCAAAAAATAGATAAAACCTTAGGTCTCAGCTTCCTGCAATAACCAGCCCAACCAAAGAACTTTTATCTTTAATTAAACAAAATGCTAAATAAATAAAAAGGCTTTAGAAAGGTGTCAGACAAAAGGAATAGTTAGTAAAAGGCTAAAAGCTTAAATGGCAACTTTTTATAGAAAGAAAATTGCATTGAACAGAACAAAAATGAGACTCATAGTGTACCTGAATTTGGATTACTTGATGACGAGCTTGAAATCATCATTTTGATAATCATCAACTTGTATTTCTCGGATAACCCTGGCTGACTTTACAACAGATTTGTTGCATTCCCTTACCTCAATGGAATTTAAAGAAGAGATGCCTTCGAAACAAGAAGGGATCTCCTTCAGATTTTCTAGTCCACTTGGAAACAAGCACTCAAGGTCAGAAAATGGGTAATCAGAGGCTGTCCATTCTTCAAGACTGCGATAAAACATTAGTTTTAAGACTTTGAGTTCAAGGAACTCGTCATCGCTCACTTCCCATTTTTCGTCATCAAATTCAATGGCTAGTTGTTCTAGCACCCGAAGGTTCTGAAGCTGAGCAATGTTTAATAAGTGCTCATGCCCAAGTCTAAAGACGGAGAGTTTCAATATTTTGAGATATGATGCGGAGATGCATACAGGATACCGATGTTGGAACTCTACGACTTCACCAATAATGTATAGCGTCTCAAACTGTGATGAAAATTTCAATACAGGGAACGGAGAGCTGCAAACACCCTTGAATTTGCATTCCAGTTCCCGAATATTAGGTGTTATTCTCAATATCAATTCAACATCCTCAACACAAGAAAAATATGGCTGAGAAAGAGTGCCTAGATCATAAAATTTTAAGGAGTCGTCAAATATTTTCTCTACATTATTTATAGTGAAGTACTGAACAATATGCAGATGTCTCGATTTAACCATCCTTGTAAGTGTTACCGGTAACAATATTCGCCCCCAAGATTTTAATATCAGAGTTTTGAGGTTCGAAATATTGGCTACGGATGATGGAATTGACGTCTGATCAATTTCTACAGAGAGGTATCTCAAGTAAACAAGATCAGATGGAAATAACTCTATAACAATGTGGTGCTCCATATCCAACACTTTTAGAAATTTGAAATTCTGTAAAATGCGTGAAATTACAAAAGCGAGTTTGGGTACGGGTAGACAAGCGTTGAAATCTGTATCACTCCTGAAAAGTACAGAACCAACAAGTGAGCAAGAGAAGCTCCATTCTTCAAGATTTTCCACTTCACAAAAAGCCAATCGACGTTGCACATGCTGCTTACGAGAGTAAATGTAGGGAGAAGGATTGACATTGTGATCCCTATGAATATATAATTTGAAAACTCATAACATTGAATTTCAAATATAATTGTTATACTTGATCACAGTGAATATATAAATTAGTAAAATCTTATAATTAATTTTCGAATATAACTTTAACTAGATAATTTATTAAACAAATAATATTGGAGATGGTGATTCAATTTTAGCAAACCCTAAATTGAAAGAGGGATCAATTTTTAGACAAAAGAAAGAGAGAGTTATCAGTTGGAATGAAGTGAAATAAATGACTTATGCAAATAAGTCTTTGTCTGATAATGGAACACTAAACAAGAAGGAAAATGGGCCAAAGGCCTTCTCACTGATTTGGGCCAGCACAAATACATCAGCTTCAATCCAAGACTTGGCAATTTTCTGAAGACAATCAGAAGCTTCTAGAGATATTAAAATAGCATCTTTCAGTTTTTATTTTTTTACTGACTTGTATACGTTAGTTATAGTGTGAGGAATAGGAATAGTACAGCTGTAGGTAGTTAGAAGATTTATTCTTTATACTTAGGTCCATTTACTTTATATATAAAAAATGCATGTACTGTACATATTATTTCATTCAATACAACACAAAAGAAAATTTCCTAAATCTAACATGGTATTAGAGCACTGGTAGCTCATCAGCGTCCTTCTCTCTTATGTTCTTAATTTGCTTTATTCAGATTTCTCATGGCTCCCTCAACTGAAGAAACACTTTCTCCTTCCACAGTGATTGCTCGAAACACTCTTGTTTTTGACGCTTCATATCCACTCAACCTTTACCCATCAGACTCACCTGGTATGGTGTTAGTCAATTCAGTCTTTAATGGAAAAAGCTATAGTGGTTGGCGTAAGGCAATTGTGATAGTACTCTCAGCCAAGAACAAGCTTGGCTTCATTGATGGATCCATCAAAGAACCAGACCTGGCTGATCCTTCATCCAAAGCTTGGAATCGTTGCAACGATATGGTAATTTTCTGGCTCTTAAACTCTCTTTCTAGGGATATTACTGATAGTGTGATGTATTCCAAAACTGCAAAAGATATATGGATGGAGTTAGAGGCTAATTTTGGTTAGTGTAATGAAGCTCAACTATATCAACTCCAAAAAGAACTTAATGAACTTGTTCAAGGAAACATTGATATAGCAGGATACTACACGAAAATGAAGAAAATATGGGATGAATTAGATACACTTAATACCTGTATCAGTTATTCTTGCAACTATTCATGTGGAGGGAAAGAAAAAACCCTCAAATCTTTTTAGGATGGCAGATTAATCCAATTCCTGATGGGCCTAAATGAAGCATATGGTCCAGTCAAGAGCAACATCCTAATGATGACCCATCTACCCAATGTCAATCAAGCCTATTCTCTCTTAATCCAAGATGAAAAATAAAGAGAGATACACATTGAGGTGCATCCTGCAGAATCTGCATTCATGGCAAGACAACAGCAAATCAACAATCACAAAACTATAGAAGAAAAGTTCAAAGAAAATTTTGCTGGAAAGAAAAACAGCCTATTTTGCAACTATTGCAAGAAACCTGGCCATACTATTGACAAATGCTATAGGATAGTGGGTTTTCCAGCAGATTTCAAGTTTACTAAGTCCAAGAAATTTTAGAGTTATGTACATAGAAATGCAGCCATCACTGAAGATAATGCATGACAGTCACTAAATGGGGGAGATGGAGTGTCTTCAGCAAACACAATTACACAGGAGCAGTACAATCAGTTATTTCAATTGCTTCAACAGGTGCAAATTAGGTTACAAGGTGATCATTCTTCTGAGGCAGTAGCTGCTGCCAACTGTGCAGGTATCACTGTCAGAACTTAATGCCATTTCTTGCATTTCTTTTGTTTACCCTAAGTCTTGGATTATAGACTCAGGGGCTTCAGAACACATGACATCTGATTTTTCTATCTTA